CGACCTTCGCGATCTTCCCAATTCTAAACAACGCTGGTTACGGAAAGCAACACTTTCCAAAAAGCAAAATCTTATCTATATAATAGAGGGGACAGTGGTTTTAAAATAGGACGATCGCATATCAGAGGTGAATTGCTCTAACCAGCGACCACGACAGGTAATTAACGGGACTAATGGACTGAAAAGTTAAGATTAAAAACTATCTCAAACTTAAAATAGTCCAACTGCGGCAGAGAAATCAGGAAACTGTAACTACCCAAAACTGTTTCTTTCATGACAGTATGAGTTAGCTGGAAATAAACAGGTAATTGTATTTTCCACTCTTTTCGTATAATTGTTAAGAGTAAATAAAATTATGGGCTTAAATTTAAGGCACCTGAACGTAACGTTCTAAGTTTCGCATCCTTTCGCAGTGGAACTGCCTTAGTTCTTGGTAAGGTTGAAAATGAATTAGCTATCCGCTTCACGTTTGCGAAGAGGCTGTTTGTAGCCGATTAGCCATTTAAAGATGGAAGCTGTAACGTTTCCTTACAGCTTAATCTAATAACGCAAACGAACTATAGTAAGATGTGAAATATAAACACGTTTTTCCTCAAAATGTCTTTGATTTAAAGAATATCTGTGCTGTAGCCCTAGCCTGTAATTTTCTCAAAAGAACATCCACCTCTATTTTAAAGCTGAAGCTGCTACGCATTAACCACCGATTCTAAAACTCCATTTAGCCGTGGAAAGCTTAAATGGCCCTTTAGACCTCTAGAAGCAAGGGGGTCCTGGGACAGTTTAGAAAACGAGTCATTCTATACAGCCTTATTACGCAAACCAATGTTAATTGGCCTTAAAATGTAAGCATCTAGTTGGAACTAAAATTAACACTGTCTAAAACGCAGACCACTGATTAAATTCTTTATAATTTTAATTACTCTATCCATATATTAAAAGTAGACTCTTATTCGTGGAGGAAGTATCCCTTCGGTATAAATTCATATAAAATTCTGGAAACAGTTTTGACATCCTTTAAGTCATTCACGCCATCTCCCTCAAATGCTCCCGGAATCTTCTCATTTTAAATGTCCAAAAGAACTGGAAAAAATTGCTTGCAAAATTACGTTGGTCACTGCTCCTTCTTCTCGTAGAAAGAAGTATTGACTAAAATTTCATTCAAAAGGAATGAAAACCCTCCTTATTTCCCGAATGGATCATTGTGAAACATTAAGACGGCCACCATCTTAAAAGAAGCAGTTCACTGGATTGGGTTTTGGTAGATCTTCGCGAAACAGCGTCAAAAGAAAAAATATAAAGACTCAAACGTACCTCATTGATGAAATCCTCCAACTCGACCAAGCAGCGAAGATAAAAGCGCGGTGTGAAGCCGACATCTTTGTCGATGAGCGGCTTTGCCTTCTGGAAAGCTCGCGTTAAGTCATCGAATACTAAAAAATTCAACGGCAGTTGCAACAGCAAAGCTATGGACGACGTCGATCAATCCACCTACTCTCTAAAACTTTCGACATGTCTTTGATCTTTTTTGAGTTCTTCATTTGTCTAATTAAATCCTTCAGTTCTTCATATCTACAAAAATAAAAATCGTGATGACAAAAAAGGAAGAATTATATCTGACTCCAGAGGAAGGCCTTAATTAAACTGCTTAGTCGGCCCACAAAGAGTCTCAATTCTAAATGTGACCGAATATCAACGGCACTCATTTCGTTGCTTACCTCTAATATGATATATCATACATAATTTAAACATCTATTTATTCCACAGTCTTACTGTTTCATATGAGATTGCTTCGCATATATATTTTATCTAAAACATAAATATGCATGTATGCATATGTGGAGCAATCCAGTAAGAAGGATGAAGACATTGGAATTAACCTTCCACATAAAAGAAGAAAGCGCTATATTAATATATCTATTTATTCAAAATATAAAATTTAAAATATAAATTTC